ATCTATCTATCTATCTATCTATCTATCTATCTATCTATCTATCTATCTATCTATCTATCTATCTATCTATCTATCTATCGATCTATCTTTTCATTCCACTTCTCACGTGTGCACCACTTTGTGTTGGTCTTTCACGTGGAATTCCAATAAAATTGATTCATGTTTGTGGCTGTAATGTGACAAAATGTGGGAAAGTTGTACATATATACAGTATATATATTATTTGCTTCTGATGCTTATTAGGGAAACACAAAGACTTTAGAGGCTACTGAAAACATTAGCCTCTCCCTGCAGAGAGATGAAGTAAAGGCCTCTGGTGGATGTCTGGGTTCGACAGACAACCACCAGCTGTCGTCTTTGTGGCGGGAAGTCTCGAGTTGTAGAGCAGAATGCACAGACTTACAGTGTGTTATAATGAGAGGACTGCTTTATGTTCAATTATTATTAGCACGTTTTTGTTCTGTGGAACCTGATTGATGTTTCAATCTGGATCTAATCAGGTTCAGGAGCAGATCAGATCAGGGGCAGGTTCAAAGCATGATTTAAGTTAGCTACTTAAGATAGCGAAAGTTACCATGGCAATGCACTGGATGTTATAAGACGCGAACCAGCTTCCTAGAACAGAAAACCCAGTGTTAACCCTCAACCCAAAGCTGCTTTATAGTACAGGCCTCTGCTGGACTTTAAGACATTAACATGGGGACTAAACATGTCAAAGAAAATAAAGAACATTTTTAAAGTAAACAATGCTTCTTATAATTGCATGTTGACCTTTAACCTCTGTGCTCTGTGTTGTTTTCTCTTTAAGACCAGATGAACATCACAGCCGAGTCTGGACAGGACGTCACTCTGCCCTGTCAAATTACAAATAGGATCTCAGCTGTACTGTGGAGCAGAGCTGGCCTGGAACCGAAAAATGTCTTTTTGTACCAGGATGGGCGTTTTGTTCCAAACAACCAGCATCCATCATATAAGAACCGAGTGGCTCCCAGAGGGATGAAGGATGGAGACGCGTCTTTGATTCTGAAGAAAGTGACCACTGCTGACTCGGGAACATACAAGTGTCTTTTTGAAATAGCAGAAACACGTTCATGGAAAAACATCACCATCACTCTCAGTGTTCCTCTAGGTGAGTGAGCAAGGTAACTGTAAACTTCTGTAAATCATTCAGAAAACTTCATTCAGCAGTCCCAGCAGAGAATCTCACTGAAAACATGCTGATAAAAATCAGCCAGGGTTTCGGGTGAGCTCAAATCTAACCCCACCCTGTCATGTGATTTCCTGAGGTCAGATGGCCCAGGATGTGAGTGAGCATTAAGGCATCACATGATAGGGTGGGGTTAGGTGGAGCTCACCCGAAACCTTGGCTGATGAACCTGTTTTCACACCTTGGCTCATGTGATTACGTAGAGGATCATTAGGTGGTCCACTTTCCCTCTTGTGTGACTCTCTCACAGGGTTTGAATCTGGGACTCTCCACCATTTGACTCTAGAGCTAAAGAATCTTCTTGGATGAGAGGTGAAACGTCTTCAAGCAACTTAAAGAAGTCCAGATGCTTTTCTTTCTGAGCTCTGTAGACATCCAAGGTCCAAAACAAAATGCAGCAGGGACCTGTTTTCAGAGTCCAAATTGCACCGGACTGCCTGATGACTAGTACTCCCTTGGTGCCTGGAGGGATCCTGCTGTTTGCATGGGCAGGACTGGTGGCAGGGTCTTCTGAAAGACTATAAACATCAGTGTGCAATACACCAATCGACCAGTGTGTATTAGGTCAGCTTCTGCAGCCACCGAGATAGAGCCTGAAGGACTCTATCTTCTTCTTTTTTTTTTTAGCCAGCACAGCTTGTCAACGTCTAGTCATCAGGCAGTCCGGTGCAATTTGGACTCTGAAAACAGGTCCCTGCTGCATTTTGTTTTGGACCTTGGATGTCTACAGAGCTCAGAAAGAAAAGCATCTGCAGTAGGCGCACCTCGCCAACGGAGGGCGCCCTTACTCCCAGCAAATGTGCGATAGAAAACCGATCAGTGCCTATGCCATCCCCAAAATCCGCCGGCATGATGTCAGGGCAGCATGAGTCCAGCATGAGCCCGAGCAACTTTTTTTTGCCGCCCCCACCACTATGCCGCCCTGGGCAACCGCCCATGTCGCCTGTATCAAAAACTGCTACTGGGTCCAGTGGATAGCCAACAATGCAGAGACAGTATATCTCATCCTTCTTACATACCATTATGGTGGGCGAGGCCCAGTTGCTGTGGATTTCAGAGGTCCGCTAGCTGTTGTGTTTAGCATGAGGCTACACTGATGATCTGGTGGATGCTAGCAGGTTTACATGAATGAAAGAAAAAATGGCAAAAAACTTCAATCTATCTCCTTCTGTTTAACTAAGCCACGGTTTTTCGGCCTGGACTGTATCACAGATACTGAGTTAGTAGCAGGTGAAGCCTGGACAGGATGCCGGTCTGTTACAGGGCTAATACAGAAAGAGTAGATCATGGATTTGAACCAAGGACTTTTCCGAGAGGCAAAAGTGATAACTACCATACCACCACAAGGCCCTAAAACTCAGATGCAAAAGTAAATAAACAACTAACATCTCTCTGCTCTGTTTTGTTCTCTCTTTCAGAACACAAAATCCTCCCAGCTGAGTCTGGACAGAAAGTCACTCTGACATGTCGAGCTCCAAACAACAGTAAACGTGTAACATGGAGCAGGGCTGACCTTAGAGATAAATATGTCCTTTTGTACCAGGACGGGCATTTAAATCCAGATAACCAGCATCCATCTTTTAAGAGCCGTCTGACTTTGCAGGACAGACAGATGAAGGATGGAGACGTGTCTTTGATTCTGAAGGATGCGAACACGGCTGATAGTGGAACATACATGTGCCGTGTCTTCATGGAGGAAACGCGCTCGTGGAAATTGCTCATTAACAACTATCTGATTGTCGTTCCTCCAGGTGAGTGAGTAGAGTTGTGTGTGTGTGTGATCAGAGGTGAAGCTACTTCCTGCTTGTTGATGTTTGTTGTTGTATGGATGAGCTGGTGGGTGTTAAAGTTGTGGCGTCTGTGAGAAAAATGTCCACATGATGACAAATGGATGTTGTTGTGCACAAATCATTGAACAACACAAACACTTAGAGCTGCTTTCAGTGCTGCCTGTTTTGTTGCTGCACACATTTCTGATGGTCCTACAGTCCAACGTAGCAAACGTCTCCCTGAAGCCTCTTCTTAGAGTAATTTTAATACTGATTATGTTTGTGCATATGAAGGTGACACATATCTGTGTGGCCTTAACATCTGTAATCCAGCTGTGACAGAGACAAAGAAGTGTAATGTGTTGTAGTTTCAGGAGTCAGTATGCAGCTACAAAGCTTTTTGTTACACCCCAAATAGTTGATTCTGTTCATCTGGATGTTGTCAGTGGGAGAAACATTTTGTCACTCATCCAAGTGTCTCGGATGAGTGACGAAATCTCTGGTAACCAACATCCAGATGAACAGAATCAACTTTTGGGGACTTAGTCACCTGGATGACTGAGCATGCCTCAAGAGTTTTTGTGAAACATAGACTTCAGGAAGAAAAATGTATTAGAGAGATATTAGAAAAAAAGTGCTACAATACTATAATACTATACTAGTTGGTTAGCAGACAGTCAAACACACAAAAGCAATAATTACTTCTTTTCATACATGTGTACAAAGTGCACTCACAGTTTGAACTATTTGCCCATTTCTTGTCCCGCTCTCTGCTGCCAGATCACCCAGGCCATCACCATGTCTTATAATGAGAGCCACACATTATGTTCACTTACTATCAGCACATGTTGTTGTTCTGTGGAAGCTAACATCTTGTAGTTTCTGACACTTTGCATGTTTAGCATGAGGCTAAAATTCCCCCTCAGTGGGTCACTGGTGACCTGCTGGATGTTCAGAGGTTCATTAAATCCAACATGACTAAAAACT